TGCTAAGTGGCTTAGGGCCTCACTAAGTTGCTGAGGCGGCTTTGAACTTGCAATCCTCTTGCCTCAAGCTCGAGAACCACTAGGATTATAAGTATGCACCACCACACCCAGCCCTCTATTCCTTTTGAGCACCTTTCAATTAGATGTAGTCTACCTGCATTATTGAAGGTGATTTCCTTTACTTAAGGTATTTTCTGCATCTACAAAATGTCTGCACAGCACACTTCTGTTTGACTTTTTAAAAAATATTTTTTATTTGTTTTAATTAGTTATTTGTGACAATAGAATACACTTTGATACATCAGATGTAATGGAGTATAATTTCTCATTCTTCTGGTTATACATGRTGTAGAATCCCATTGGTTGTATAGTTATATATGTACGTAGGGTAATAATATCTGATTCATTCTACTATCCTTCCTAGTCCCATATGCCCTCCCCTCCCTTCACCCCCTCTACCTAATCTAAGTAAGTCTACTCTTCCTTAGTCCCCTCCCGCCATTGTAAATTAGCATTTGCATATCAGAGAAAACATTTGGCCTTTGGTTTTTGGAGATTGGCATGTTTTGCTTAGCATGATATTCTTCAGCTCCATCCATTTACTGGCAAATGCCATAATTTCATTCTTCTTTAAGGCTGAATACTATTAAACATTTTTTAAATTCATTCATCTGTTGAAGGGCACCTAGGTTAGATCCACAGTTTAGCTATTGTGAATGAGTTGCTATAAACATTGATGTGGCTGCATCACTGTAGTATGGTGATTCGAAGTCCTTTGGGTATAAACCTACAAGTGGAATAACTGGGTCAAATGGTGTTTCCAGTCCAGGTTTTCTGAGGAATCTCCATACTGCTTTCCAGAGTGGTTGCACCAATTGGCAGGTCCACCAGCAATATATAAGTGTGCCTTACCTCTACATCCTTGCCATAATTTTTTGTTGCTTGTATTCTTGATGAATACCATTCTGACTGAAGTGAAATGGAATCTCAATGTAGTTTTGATTTGCATTTCTCTAATTGCTAGAGCTGTTGAATGTTTTTTAATATGTTTGTTGATTGATTGTATTTCTTCTGTGAAGCTTCTGTTCAGATCCTTAGCCCATTTATTGATTGGGTTATTCATTTATTTGTTTTTTGATGTTAAGTTTTTTTGAGGTCTTTACATATCCTGGAGATTAATATTCTGTCTTAGGTACATGTGGTAAAGATTTTCTCCCATTCTGTAGGCTCTTTCTTTACATTATTGATTGTTTCCTTTTCTGAGAAGAAGATTTTTAGTTTGAATCCATCTCACTTATTGATTCTTGATTTTACTTTTTGCAATTTAGGAGTCTTGTTAGGGAAGTCATATCCTAAACCGACATTGTGAATATTTGGATCTGCTTTTTMTTCTGGTAGGTGTAGTGTCTCTGGTCTAGTACCTAAGTCTTTGATCCACTTTGAGTTGAGTTTTTGTACAGGGTGAGAGATAGGGGTTTAATTCAATTTTATTACATGTGGATTTCCAATTTTCCTAGCACCACTTATTGAATAAGCTATTTTTTCTCCAGTGAATGTTTTTGGTACCTTTGCTAGAAAACCTTGAAAAGTGAATGCAGCCTAGCGTGTGCACACAGACTTCTCTTAAATTTGTTCTTTTTGTGGTATCCCATATTTCTTGAATGTTCTGCTCGTGGCTTCTTATCATTTTTGCTGTGTGGTCTATGTTCTTTTCAAGATGATATATTTTATCTTCATTGTCTGATGTCCTATGTTCTAAGTGGTCTACTCTGTTGTTGATGCTTTCATTTGAGTTTTTAATATGGTTTATGATTTCTTTCATTTCAAGGCTTTCTGTTTTTTTGTTTTTTTTTTTTGAACCTCTATCTCCCTGTTGATGATTTTTTGCTTCTTGGATTTGTTCATGTAGCTCATTGTCGAAGTGATCTTTCACTGCCTGTATTTGTTCTCTTATGTCTTCTTTGAGATCCCAGAACATTTTAACCATGTATATCCTGAAATCTTTCTCTGTCATTTTTTTTCTGCTGCAGCTGCCAGTGCTTCTAATGATGTGTTGTCTTGATTTGTTTGTGGTACTTTCTTTCCTTTTCTTTTCATGTTGCTCATGTGTCTTCCTTTGCAGCTCTGTGGATCTTGTGTGTTATTGTTTTTACCCTATAGATAGGGTAGGGTTCCAAGATCCTTCTTTTGTGGGGAGGGATAATGTTAACWGATCCCAATGTCAACAATGCATCACCTATGAACAAACTGTTATTATTAAGACATTTATAGTTTAGTCTCAGTGTCCAGAAATGTTGGATTAAATTATTATTTAAAATATAATCAGTAGTTTCATAAAAAGATTTACAGTTTCTGGTGATGGACAATGAACTGGGAGTCAGGCATAGGATGTTATGCTGAGGGGGAAAGATTTAATATATCTTAGGAAATGTGAAGGAGAAATCTAATGAAGAGGGTTAGTAGCAGGAGAGTAGACAGGAAGTAATTTAAGGTAGACAAGTACATGGGAAGACAGTAGAGTACATAGAACAAACACAAATTTATGTATTTAGAAAAATACAGGATGTAAAAATAGTGAAATTTAGAGGATGAAAGAAGAAGAAAGAGAAAAAAGGGAAAGAAAGAAGAAGAAAAAGAAGAAAAAGAAAAAAGAAAAAAAAGGCTTATGTTAACTCCTCTATATTACATTATTCAGGTGACTCAGTCCTCAAAGTCCTATTTCATGCAAAGTTCTTGGTTTCACATATGTTTGTGATGTGAGGGCCAGAGGATAGAAGGGTAGAAGAGAAAGAAGAAGAAGAAGAAATACTCTTAATCTGTTTCTTTCCTCCTTCTCTTCTTATCCAGTAGTTAGAGTTGTCTGTTTTAAGCTGTGTCTCTGCCCTCAGGGTGGTGTAGGTAACCAAGRTGAGAAGACTGGACCTGGTGTGGAACGTCTGGAAGTGGGAAGTGCCACCCATCACTCCCAGCAGGGAAATTGCACCTCATGGGTCTCTTTTTGTGACCACTTGTCTGACTAAACCCCCAGTTTCATCTCCCTCTTTTGCCTGGAGATTTCCCAGATCCTGATCTCTCTGTTATGCCCCAGACTTTAGTCYCCTCCCCTCTCTTACTTATCATATCCCAACTTCGAGACCTCTCACCCACAGGCTCACACCAGGTGGCCAGCGCCCTGGTCACASTGCACTCCTGTCCACCTGAAAGCTGTTTTTGTGTTGGGTGGTCCCTGTGYCAAATTATCGGTGCTGGGGGTTGGGGAGTTGGAAACCAGGTACCTGCTCAAATGGAGAKCTGATCTGATAGCCACGCCCACCAAAAATGGTGAGAAAGGTTTACCAAGATGGAAGTCCGTGTGCTTCCAGTGCAGGGGTGTCTGGTGAGGTGAGGGGACCTGGCAATGTCCTTGTGCTGTGGATAGGTAGCATCCKAGTGACCTATGTGGGAGCAGACTCATTCTGGAGTTCTGCAGAGGTGCTGATAGGTGATGCTGCTAAGCTGGAACCATGTGTGAGCTAGAGCTGTGAGTTTTGGGTCTAGAGTCCAGAGACCTACTTGAATGCCAAGGCTCTGATTTCTTCACAGGTGGTCACAGCGCTGGTGATTTCTGCGAAAATCCGCTGTATAGGGGGTCCTCTCACACTCTCTGAGATGTTGTATTCTGTCTAGGTGAGACCTTGCAGAGAAGCTGCCTGACTGCTTTCTTTGTTTCATGCCACAGAGCAGCCAGAAACAGGACCTCCTCTATTCTGCCATCTTGGATCATCCAGACTTCTCTACTTGTAATATGAGTTTGATCCCAGAAGGATCCTACATAGCTCTCTTTTTCCTGGTTCTCTTTGTTAAATAAACTATTGGTTGGTTTGCCATTTTACTTGTTGTTACTAGTTGATGAAGTTTGCTATTGTTTCAAACTACATGTTTAAGCATGAGTTTGTCTTTGCTCTGTTATAAATAATGTAAGCCCTAGCAGCCGGTGCTACCAGTCCTATCAGCCTGCCTCTACCTTTGACAAAAACCTCAGCTTTATATGTGGAGTTTGTAGGCAGGCCCATAATTCTTCCAGAGTGATACCTTGCTGTATCAACTTCACTGGGGTGTTCTGTTTACATTTTTCAGAATGGAACTTACACTTTAGGAGCAAAATGGTGGACGGGCAATTTGGGCCTCAGTATTCATAAAGTGCGGCTTCTGGGTCAAAAAAATCTTTGCGCATAAATGGGAAGAAAGGGAAACTCAACCCTCCTGACAGTGCCTGTTTGGAATAGAGCTTTTGTAATGTATAGCTGGGGGAAGGATGATACGCTGCCTGTTCCTCCTCAGGTGAAGCTGTACCTTAAACTTGGAGCTGAAGAAGAGCCCCCTATTTAGCAGCATCCATTTATATATTACCTTCTGTAATGCACTATGGGGCTGGAAGTGGGAGGTGATTGTTGTTTTCATGTCACAGACTCTTCCTGTACTTACCCAATTTTCACAGTTTTTCCTAAATATGTTTTGTTTGTTTGTTTGCAGTGTGCCCTTAGGTTGATTTCCAKAGAACCTAATTTTCATCAGTTGTTTCATGGTTAATACTTTGGGAGATATTTTGCTGAGTTCCTCACCTAGCTATTTTAGAAATTCTGCCATCTGCTTGGTTTTTAATTATTTATGTTAAATCTTAGAACAGAAAGTGCTCATAAAATTGTGTTAGGTATGACTTTTCAGTTTTACATTGATATGCGTTATAAGACGTTATTGCTATGTTAATTTTAGATTTTATCAGTAAGTACACCAAATATTAGCATAGCATTAGCTTTTTAACATAGGAATTAACATTGAATGAGTCTTTGTGAAATATGGTRTATGAATTCAGAGGAATCATTGTATATTTTCTTTTATGTAAATGGGCTAGAGTTGCAGGAAATAGAAAGTGAAGTTGTTGTTACTTATTTTTATTTAATTTGAAAAATTCTTTGGAATTGTATTGATTCCTAATTTTTGTCCTATCCTTTGTCATACAGATTTGAAACCAAAATAGACTCATTTCATATTACTGGCTTACCAGATAATTCAAAAAAACCCCGCCTCCTGTCTTCATTGGATGGTACATCACTCTTCCAGATTATATTTGAGATTAATCCATTAGATGAAACTGTTTCTCAGAGGTGTATCATAGAAGCTGAACCATTGGAAATGATATATGATGCAGTTAGTATTTTTTATGTTACCAATTTTTAATATAATTTAGATTGTCTTGAGATTGTGCTTCACATTAATGATTTTTTTTTTTTTAACAGAGGACAGTGAATAGTATAATAGAATTCTTCAGGCCTCCAAAAGAGGTACATCTAGCACAGCTCACTTCAGCAACTTTAACAAAACTTGAAGAATTTCGTGAAAAGACAGCAACAGGTAAAATTAATTAAATTTAATAAATTAAATACTATTTCATACTTTATAATTTTATTTATGTTAACATGATTTTGGTAAAGTTTAAATTTATTTCTAGAATGGATACAGTGTAGTAGAAATTAATTTGTTACTTTTTCTGGGGGTGGTGGTGGGGGTGGTGGTGATGGTAATTAGAGATTGAGCTCGCTAGCACTCAACCATTGAGCCACATCCCTAGCCCTATTTTGTGTTTTATTTAAAGATAGGGTTGCTTAGCAACTCACTGTTGSTTAGGCTGGCTTTGAACTTGTGGATCCTCCTGTCTAAGCCTCCAGAGCTGCTGGGACTACAGACATGTACCCCYAGGCCCAGCAATTTATTACTTTTCTGTTGAAAGGCATGTATAATAATAATAATTTTTTATACTCAGAAAGTTGATAGTTAGGATCTTTGGACCTCTGTTTTTGACAATAGGCCTGTCATTTTCTTACCATAGTTTGATATATTGGCCTCAGAAAATAAAATTTCCATCCTTTTATGGGAAGGGTTAAAGTTATAGATTTGGTTTTTAAATGATAGTTCATTATAGTGAACAATCAGCACAAAAGCAATTACTATTTTAGCCAGACTCTTAAAACTGTGAAGACAGTAAGTTATAATCAAATCAGTGAAAAATACATTGAGTTTATTAATGTAGGAGGTTWGGARATTTGTAGGTCTAGGAGATAAGGCTCAAATTAACTCAAGATAAACTCGAAACTCTATTTATGATCATTATTATTAGGCACTCCCACACAGGAACCTTTCCTTTATAGTCTCCAACTTTACTTACTTTTGGTAGAGTTGACACAAGTGTACATTTTAAATTACATTTAAAACAACAACAACAACAACAACACATCTTTTTCCTTTTAAATGTCCCTGAAGGACTGTGCTTAGACTGTACTGTTTTGCTAGGTGTTTAAGACCAAGTTGGTCAAAACCACCTTGTTCCTATCTACTCTTAAGAGTCAGCTGAGATTCCTTGGGGATGTGTGTTAAGCCTCTTGGCTCCTTTAGCTTTCCTCTACCAGTGGTGCCATCTGCCAGGATGGGTCAGTCACGTATGGGTCCATATGTGACTTCTCTTGTAAGCATGGAGGGCATTACCTTCTCCAGTGACCCTCCTCCAAAGACTGACTTTGAAGAATATAAGAAGGGTAGTTATAGAGTTTATAGGATTGAAGTAATTTTCCCCAGGAAGTTATCCCTCTGTTCTCCAAGGGTTGAAATTTAGACCTTACTGGAGGAAGGCACAGCTATGACTCATAGGATATTGGAGAAGCCATTATGGTGCCATGCTAACAAACTTGCTGAAAACCTGCTTCTGAAATGTTCTAGAAATCCTTCCTTAGGTGATAGGGAAAGGTGTTCAGGCATCCCCTTACATACATTCAGCCCTGAAAACACCTGAGAATGATTCTAAAGAAAGATGCTGGCTATTGGGTACTATTGTCCCTTATGTGCTACCTGTGCTTAGTGTTGGAGAAAGCTGCATTRTTGCAGCATCTTGCTGAGGGGTTGCACTAAAATCAGGAAGTAATATCCTTTCTTTTTACAGTCTTTCCTTTATTCTATCTTATCTTCAGTGCTTGTTGGTAAAAGAAAAGCATTGAAAGGGCTCAGGTCCAGTTTCATAGAGCAGGCAAAAGGGTGAATTTGGAGTTGAGGAAATAAATTGATAATAGTACCAGATGTTATGAAGGACATGAGAATGATGGATGTCCTAATTTAGTTTTGGTAATTGTACCAGAGATCCCTTTGAAAAATTGATACAAGTTTCAATTCTCTTAGAGGATGCCGCAGTCTGGCTGGGCACAATTCAGGAGCCACTTGTCAAAAGAAACAAACTTTATTTTTAGAACCACACAAGCCAAACAAAACAGCTCCTCAGGAAAACCTTCAGAGCCCAACTGCCAC